TTTTTTTTTTTTTTTTTTTTTTTTTTTTTTTTTTACTGTGTAGACATATCTTTAAAGGCTTCTTTAGACTCTCCAAAGCTTTTATTATAATTTTACAATAAAATAATTTTACAAACTCCTTGTTTCCAGCATTTACAGGCTGCAAACAGTATCTGCATTTGCTCCCTAGAGCCCAGCTGCTCTGCTTCTGCCAATCAACAGCACTAATTGGTTCCAAAGACCTTCTGAGCGCTGTGGCTGAGTGAGCAGCATGCATTGCATTCCCCAGTCACCACTACAAACAGAAATCAGTGCTTTCAGTATTTCCATCCATCCCTGAATGGTGGAGTATTCCCCTGCCCTTGCGATTTCACTTGTAACAGGCCTGTTCTCTGCTCTCCCCAGGTGTGCTGTCTCTGCCTGCCTACTTCAGCCCCTACAATGATGGCTCCATAAGCAGTGATGGACGGGCCGATGCTTATGCCCAGCTGGAGCTCCGAACCTTGGAACAGTCTCTCTTGGCAACTTGTGTTGGAAGCATCTCAGAACTAAGTGAGTTTCAGCTGTAACTGATCGTTTGTTTAAACAAAATATGAGGCCTGCTGCTATTGAAGTCGATGGCAGTTTTGTCATTGGCTTCAGCATGAGCGGCATTGGTTCCATGTTATGTAAAATGTAATTGTTTCAGGGTGCTGTTCGTGGAAATCAGATTATGCCACTAGGATGTTTTATGCTTAATTTATGCATAAAATGTCCCCCTTACAGCATTTTATTCTTTGTCTTAGTGAATTCAGTGCTGGTGAAAGATCTGTTTCTAGCTATGTAGGTGCTTAAATGGCTTTCATCAGCCTAATGTCGGAGCACCAGATTGACAGCAGTTAGTCAAATGGCCACAAGTTCACTTTCTAGTTGTTGTACACTAGTAGATGCTTCAGGGGAAAGTTCAGTTAAACAAAAAAAATTATAAAAATGGGGAGAAGGGAAATCCTGAGAATGCTTCTGATATAATCAATTTGGTAAATCTCTTTTTTGTGAACAAACCCCAGATTTTGGGCCTAAACTACTTGACAGTGCTGATTTAAAATAAACCAAAATGATTTGTGTTTTCCTGGCCTGGTTTTCCTTGCAAAATTTCTGCTGGCACCACTGTCCCAGTCTCCGTCATCTGAAGGCTAATGAATATCAGGGGCTGGCCAGGCCCAGAGCTTGTGGTTTCACCATTTATTTTGCAACTTGCCTTAATCTGAGGTTTTTCAAATTCTTTTAACACACCTCTATTTATGCTGGAACACAAGGGAGCATTTGTAGCATGGGCCCATGATTGAATGCAGCTTCCTCTCCCTCTTTCCTAGTCCCTGCTCTGGCCAGCTTAGTCATTACGTCTAGTGAATGGATGTCCTGATATAGTCACCTACTGATTTTAAAATATGGTCTGGAGGTTGCCAAAGAAGTAGGGAGTGGGATGTTATTCTTTGCTGAAAATTTGAATTCCAGATGCATTTCTTTTCTGATCATGTGGGATTCAGGATTAGCACCAAAGCTAGAAGATGCATAGGACTCTTGTAAGAATGTTTGGGTCTTAGGGAAAGATTCAGGAGCTGCAGAAATGGAAAGGCAGAGACATTAGGAGGTTTTTTCCTCTCTGGAGTCTACTTGTAAAATGAATTTACTATGCGACGAATGAGTGCACAGCTTCACGTTGTAAAGTGAAGTTTTAACACCCTATCGATCTGACTCACTAATAACTGCATAATGCTCAGACATACAGTAGCCATGTGTTTCCCCAGCATGTGTAATATCAATCCCTAAAGTGTTCAGCTGCAGGCATCGTAGTAAACTTGGTCTTTTTGCTGTTAGACCTAAGTGGATTAGCCTAAGAACATCCTAAGAACTGCACTGGGAATTGGGGTGGGGGTGAATTCACATTTTGTGTGGCTAAGTTCACGGCGCCATCTCAGACCCAGCTTGGTGTTGGTGGCTCTTTCAATTCCATCCTTTCCCAGCATTGTAACCATAGAACACAATGGAGGAACATTTCCTGTGAAGATTCTAGAGGACTGTAGAACATAAAGCAACAGAAGATTCCCAGGGAATAAATAGATCCTGTGCATATATAGTATTCTATAGTAGTGGTTCAGACTAGTGCTACAGGAATACCACTACTGTAAATTGTAACAGTAGTGGTATTCTGTCAGGCTACTGTAGTGTTTGTAACGTGGTGTGTGCTATGTTTAAAGCAAGTGTCAAATGAAGAACACTTGGGATTTATATAGCCAAAGGTGGTCTCTGCAGGTGCTAACCCACAGCAGCTTCCTGTTCTGAGGGGGAAGGGTTAGTGTCTTCTTAATAGCAGCTGTGTAACATAGACTTTCCCCCTCCCAGTTGCCTAGTCAGGGAGTCTTCCAATGTATTGACACAGGAAGGTTGACAAGGGTTCAGAATCCCCAAGAACTGAGCAGCTCGGACGGAACTGGATGCTTTCTCCTTGGGTTTAGACCTCTATCAGCATCAGAGAGAGACTTCCAGCAAGATCTGTGAAAATCAGAGAGAGAGAAATATAAGGACTGACCCTTTAATAAGGGAGATGGATGTTGTTACTCCTTGGAAGCAATCTTCAGCTATAGAACAGTGAGGAGGATAAGAGAAGCAGACACCAACAAGAAGGGACTTCCAGCTAGGACAGAGGCTTTCCCTCTCTCTGTCATAAGAACCTGGGCATAAAGTTGGGACTTGAGGGCTAGTTAGGTGGCATCAGATGGCTCCAATGTAGGGAACTGGTCTGGCCTCATAACATGTAGAGGACAGGGAGAACCAAAACAAGCAACCTACATGGATGCTGCCTCTGTCCCCTTGCATAAATTATGTTCCCAACCCAGTGCTGACGTAGGATCTTACAAAATGTATTTCATTAGCCAAAGGCAGGCAAGAAACCCATGGATGTGGCTTCAGAAGAAAAGAAACAGCATTAAAATAGCAAAGAAAAATAATGCAAAATCATCACACCTATCCCTGATGATGGGCAAGTTTAGCAACTTAAATAGTAGTTTAATTCTACCATTGTCTAATGGCTAGGAATTTAAAAGGAAATTAAATTTCCATTGCAATAAACCAGTTGTTCTCAACCTATTTACCATTGTGGGTCGCATATGTGGCCCACAATGTGTTATGTGGGCTGCATCCAATACTACCGGTGTGGCCCTGAGGATGTCGCATGGGCCGCAGCTCTGTGCTAATTGGGCCGCAGGTTGAGAACCACTGCAATAAACTATAAAATGGCAGCTCCAGGACCTGCCTATTGGCTTAGTGGGTAAATAATAATTACACACAAAGAAGGCTTTCTCAGTTGCCAGTGATTTTATTTGGCTGAGAAAATAAGCATACGGGTTTGGATGAACATTCAGAAATGCTTTTCCTGTCCCCTTTTGTGCAGGTGACTTGGTATCACGAGCAATGCACCACATGCAATGTTTGACCACCCTCCGCCCCGGCATGAGCCCTATCCGGCAAACCAGGCAACAGCAGCCCATTACCTGGTCCCCTGATGCCCTCCATACCCTTTACTACTTCCTACGCTGTCCTCAGATGGAGTCCATGGAGAACCCCAACCTGGATCCGCCAAGGATGACCCTGAACAATGAACGGTAGGGAAGTCTGTTAACTGTTAGCAGTAAAGAAGTCAGGCCAACAAGGCCTCCTTTTGCAGAATAGCTCAGGGCTTATGTGCAGTGCAGTTTGTTTGCAGGAGGCTATCTATCAGGCATCAGTTATTCCTGCTGCCCAGCCAGCATGTGTCATTAGCCTTGCCAAGTTTACAAAGTGTTAGAATTGGAGCTGGGAAGCAAGCTGCTTTCTCAGACAGCCTTTTCCGAGCAAGACATATACTGTATATCGCCAGCAAGCCTTGTCTAGGGACATTGCCAGGAGTGCATGTGGCTGCCTAAAGCAGTAAAGACCTTACCAAAGAAAATGTTACCTTCTCAATACCACTGATTAATGATTGTCATCATTCTTGGGAATAGGAAGGTTGATTGCAGTGGAGAGCCTGAGAGGGATTTATGACCACCCTTCCCGGGACTTATTTCAGTTGCTGCTACGTGTCTAGTACGTGGGAAACTTACACAAGAAGCCAATACCCAAATAAAAACAAAAGGGCCACCCTTACTCGTGCCAAGCAGTACCTGACTCTGCAAGTAGTCTTCTTATTAGACCTGGTTGGCAATTTTCCAATGGAATATTTTTTAATTAGGAAAGGTTGATTTGTCTAAATTGGAACGTTCTGTGGGCACGTATTGATTTTTGACTAAATTCTGACAGAAACCACATAGGTTTCTGACATAGCCCTGCCTGGCAGCCAGGTTTCAAAACCTGCCTGGGTTCCTGCTGACTCACCCACCCAGCTCCTCAGCAGCCCACCTAGCAGGCTGATGGGGAGCCTGGGAGTCCAACTCCTAGACTTGCAGCTCTTTGCCAGCCTGGACCTCTAGGGCTTCCTGTGTTCCTGGTTCCCAGGGTCCCTGGTTTCGGGGCAGCCCACCAGATGGATTGCTCCCGAGCTAGGGCTTCCAGTCTCCTAGCTCCTTCAGCAAAACAAAACTTTGGTATTCACATTCCACAAACAATGTTGAAATTTCATTTTTGTTCCGTTTTGGAATTATTATTTTTTTAAATTTCTGAATGTCCCATGGAACGGGAATTCCAGTTTCTGGCCAGCTGTACCCAGGACATGTTAATGTGGCTTCTACTGTGTGGTGCATTGTTAGCCTGGCAAAAAGTCAGGCACACAGCATCTCCCTTTGCCCCCTTTGAGAGCAATCTCTGGCTGAGAAGCATCCTAGGCTTGCAATGTGTTAGATTCCAACTCCCATGCCAGGTGGCCACATTCTCAGAATGAAAATGCACAGCATCTTTCCGGCACAGGAGCAGGGGAAGGGATGATACCTGCCACAGATTTATTAACACTGCGGCCCCTTATTCCAACACCAGTGTCCTCCACTGACCCCAGTGCCCCCCTTGTGCTGAGTGGCAGCAGACGTCCAGGGCCTTATAGGTCAGTTCTCCAGTGGAAGAGAAATCGGTGATATGGAATCCAGATATACTCTAAGTGTAAATTTGCTTTATTTGCACACATTCACCAGTCCTGGGATGAGATGGTCAAACAGCATGCAGGGCAATCCCTTCTTTTAGGCATCTCAGCCCAAGGATGTTCCCAGGGAGCAACTCTGCCTCAAGAATGTATTCTTATCAGAGCCCAAGGCAGACAGCAAATTCTTCACCTGCTCACACGGCTCCCTGTCTACCCAAGCTGCCTCTATATCCAACCTTGCATAATCCAAACTAACAACAACCCAGCACAGCTTCCCAAGACTTACGTGTCAGCCTGTCCAAAATTTGCTTGCAGGCTAAGAACTTGGAAGACTGTGTGTAACAGCACCACCAAGTGACACCTGCCATAACGATATGATAAAAACAGTTTCTACTGTCGCTCTCAAGCGCCCATTAATTTAAAAAGAGATGTTTTTAACTTACAATTTTTTTCTCACTTAAAAATAATAAAATAACAAATTTAACATCTAATGTCATTCTTAAAAGTTAGCTGAATGTCACTTTAATAACACTAACAGAGAAAATAATTTATAAATCACAACAAATTGGCCTTTCCTTACACCCGCAGACAGGGTCCTTCGTGACTTTCTCTTCCCCCCCTTTCCCAGTGTGGACACGAAGCAGCCCATTTCATGCATTCATCCCTTCTCATCACCTTCTGGGCTGGTGCCTCTGTCAGGCCCCACTTTTGCAAGCCTGAGTGTTGCTGCTGTTGCCATTGCTGCCAGCCAGGCCTCGCTCCTCCAGGCCTGATGGTGGTACCAGTGCCGCTGGCCAAGCCCCGGTGGTGGTGGGTGGTGCCTCCAAGCCTGCTGCAGCTGCTCTCCCCAGGCACTGGTGATAACAGCTTCTGAGCAGAGCCCACAGCAGGACCCATGGGTGAGGGAGAAGCTGAGCATAAAAACGGGTGTCCCATTTCCTGGTTCCAGGTTTCCAGGACAGAATGCAGAAGTCTTGGAGGGGAAAAAGGACATCTGGTTACTTTATCCAAACCTCAACTGCTATAATTTCAGCCGGGGTGTCTTTATTGTAGATTTTAAAAAATGGCAAATGAAGAGAGCACAATTCTAAATTATAAATCTCTCTGATGGGGAAAGCAGAGTGCACATCTCAGTCTGAAAGATGTTCCCTCTTGAATCCCCTCACAACCCTACCCCTTAGAAGACTGTCAGGAAAGTTCCTTTGCTCATCTGGGCAGACTGTCTGTTACTACGTTCTTGTGTGGCACCAACCCCAACAGGGTCTCAGTTTGATTGGCGTGCTATGCTACTGTATTCCAAAATAATAATTCTCCCTGTACTGATGACTGATCCTCTTCCAGAAGAAACTACAACCTTAAAAAGATCTGTCTGGTGGGAATAGAAGCAACTGGAGAGAACCAGTGTGAGCTTGTGATAGAAATAAGAGGAAATAAGGAGTGCAGCAGGTTTCATTTTAAGTTGTTTTATCTAGAAAGATAAAGAAAAAAGTTACATGGTTAAAATAGGGAAGGGGATGCAAATGTAATAACTGCAAAGTTGGCTACATTGTTTGTCCTACCAATCTGAAAAGGTCACACAGAGTACGTCTACACTACAGTAGACATACCCAGTGAGAGTAGTTGATCAGAATTTGATGTGGGTTAAAACATGAATGCCGTCCCAGTTTTCCACTTTTCCTCCACGCCTACATCCCTTCTATGATCCCCAGAGCTGGGTTAGAGAATGCAATATCAAAATTTCAATGCAAGCTGTATGTCTATTTTATGTTTAAATCAATACTAGATTTAGTATCAGCAGCAGGTTTTTGGAATATTTCCACCACTTACTTCGGATCGAGACTTAGGTGTAAGGAAATTAAAAGTGATAATTTTTAAAAAATCAAAAGTTTGTCATTAGGAAAAAAAACCATGAGCCTGAATACACTAGATTAAATGGCTTCAAACTTTGATGGAACCTGTGTAAATCAAACGGCCAGATATACCAACAGCAACTAACTTCCAACCCCACATGGAATCTGTTCCAGGATATGTTTGTATGTGTCGTACCCCATTAACTCCAATCCCTGTTATTTAACCTGGCTAGTGGGGTAAATATTGCTGGGGACACTTTGTACATGAGTCTGTTTATTCATTCCCAACTAAAGGGAAAAGACGGTCGAGGTTGCATGTGAGTGTGCCAGGGCGCAGTGTGATAGATGAAGGCATTGATTCATCTACTCTGGCTTGGCAAAGCTGTGTAGCCAGCCCTTTTATTCTTTACTGAGCTGTGCTAAATCAGCTTCAAACTCTGCATTGCTCTATTGTGCATTTATGGTCGCTCTGGAATATGCTTTTAATGTGTACTGCAAATCTGGGCTATTTTCTAATGAAAAATCTCAGTCATGAACCAGGACAATAATGCTGAAATGCTTTGCAATTGCTTGTGCTGTGGTTCCTGGGCCGCCATGCAAAATCTATCAATGTTTTTAAAAAGCCCTAAATTTAGCAAGGAGGGAGACGATTATTAGAGTTACAGGTCTAGTCGTGTAAACTCAGGACTGATTTTGAGAAGCTCTGAGCACCTACAACTCCTATTTACTTCAGTGGGAATTGTTGTTGCCCATTCAAAGCTCACAACCTATTAGCCATTTGCTTTATCAGATGAGCGCTTTGTCAATCCGTTTTATGCCACCCGTTACACTTATGAAGGGACATGCTATGAAAATCATTGCAAAATCAGGGTCAGAAAGGACTTTTTAGTGCTTCCCTCTGACATTGGGGGGAATATATAATTCACTATCCTAAAAACCATCCCTGGTGGCTGCTGTCATGTCTAGGCTGTCAAAATGGTGCTAAAAACATATTGCCAAACTACAGAGCTGCTGATACATGCAGACTCAGCACTACGGTGACCAGATGTCCCGATTTTATAGGGACAGTCCTGATATTTGGAGCTTTTTTTTTTATATGGGCTCCTATGACACCCCTCCCCCCCATCCCCGTCCTGATTTTTCACACTTGCTATCTGGTCACCCTACTCAGCACCCTACAACCAACTCATTCTGAGTGCAATTCATGTGTATGTGAGGGGTTGCGAGAATGCACATATAAAGGGGAAGTGCAAACTGCATGTGAGAATCCCCATGCAAGTGGCCTGCACACTTAGGCCACCTCCGTTCACAAGAACATGCAAACTGCACCTCCTTGTCCACGGTAAGTAACTCCCTTAGCAGCCAAATTGATGAGACCAAAAGTGGTGGCAGTAAATGAAGGGGTAGAGATAGTGAGAGCCATGTGGGAGTGAGAGAAGCCTGGGAGCCTCTCTGCAGGTTGGCAAGTGGCAGGAGCCTCCTATTTAGGACTCCAGTGTATATTTTCACATTGAAACCTGGGGAAGCTTGTTGGCTGGTGATGAGGCTCTGTGATGTTCTGTTTCCTGTCCAAAGGCAGAAGGCAGCACTGAGAGCTTGAGTAGGAGAGCGAAAACAGGCAACAGTAAGTAAAAAGCCTTGAAACATTGTCCCTGTTGAAAACATCATGTTTGTTACATGACTGACTTTGAACCCCATCTTGGCCTCA